GCAGCGCCCTGGAGCGGCCCCGGAGCAGCGTGGTGTCCGCCTGGCCCCCGAGCCCGCCGTGCAGTCCCGGTGAGTGCCGACCCGGCCGGCCCGACGTCGCGGGCGGGAGCGCGGCCGCCCGGTCCCGGGAGGAGCCGCGCGAGCCTCTTTCGCGGCGTCCGGGCCACGTTCCCGAGCGCGACTCCGGCGCTGGGCGGCCCGGGGCGGGAGAGTCCGGGAGGCCGAGGGGGGAATCGGGGACTCGTCCTCCTCGGGGACTGACCTCCTCACCTTGTCCCCAGCCCGTGCCGCGCGGGGCGCAGGGGTCGGGGCCGGAGTGGCTCCCCTCGCCCCCGGTGCCAGGGTGTGCGCGCCGCCGGGAACCCTCGCCGCGGCGCGGGCCTCGCTGGCGAGCCCTCCCCAGGCTGTGCCGGCCGCGCGGGCAGTCCTGACTCCGAGGAGGGTGTGCGGGCCTCCCGGGTAGGCCTCACCGGGCCCGCGCTGGCCGGACCGGGACATCCTCACTGCGGTGCCGGCCGATCGGCAGTGCACACCAAGTGGCAGGAGGAAAACGGGCGAGGGGACAGCACCCCTGGGTGGCAGATGGAAGGGCTGGCGCGGAGCACATCCTGGTAGATCAGAGACCAGCAGGGAGCGGGGCCGCTTCCTCAGTCCGCCCGCACGCAGAATGGCAAGTCTTCCTTCCTGCAGAGCGCCTGGGGGTAAGAGCCGCGGGGCACAGCCTCGGGACAGCAGTTCTCAAACTTCTGGGGAGACTCAAACCCCCTATCCACTCCGAAATAGGACTGTACTAAGGAGCTTTTGTCTATGTGGGTTATATCCTTCGATATTTACCATCTACAACATAAGTTTTTACTTTATTTTAAAATAATAGTGGTCCTGTTATAGTTAGCCTACCATGTTTTTCTGAAAGTGGCCATGTTGTCCAAAACAGAACGTTACTGAGAAGAGCGGCATGTTACATTTTTGCAAATCTCTTTGATGTCAGGTTTCATAGTAGGCGGCTGGATTCTTCTATCTGCTTCTGCATGCAGTCTGTTGCAAGATCACGTGTCATGTAGCCTTGGAAAACCTCCCTGTGTGTCCTGAAAAACGTGAGAGTGAAAAAGCAAACAGCCCCTTGGTGTTATTGCAAAACTGGTGTTGACCTGTGGACTCCTAGGCTGCCCCATTCCGCCCCACACCCTGAGAACCACTGGTGTGGGGAATGCTCCCGAGGCTTAAACCACGGGCCGTGCTTCTTGTTTGCGGTCCTTCCTCTGAATGGAGCACGCGCCAGCCCATGCCATGGGCAGCGTTAACCTCTACAATTTGGGACCAAGTGCTGGGGCCCCACATACGCGATGATGAGCCCTGCTGGCCTCCTGAAGGCTCCGCAGGGCTCACAGGTGGCTTTGGTTGTTTCTGCACCTGCAGAGCGGCCTGTCTGCATCCAGGTGGCAGCAGTCCGGGTCAGACAGGACCTGCGGTCCCGGGAGCTTGTGTGGAGTGTGCGGGGGTCTGTGTGACTGTGACCAGAAGTTATCTCCGCAAGAACAGGAGTGCGTGCGTGCTTTTGTCTGTCCTTGCTCTGTGTTCATTTCTGCTTGCAGTTGCATAGCCTTGAGTTTGTTGGAAACTGACTCCCCAGCCTCGGTGCTCTGGCACTTTCCACTTGTAGAGGTGTGTCAGTGAGGAGCCCTTCCTGCATCCTTCCTGCTGTGTGGTAGGTGGGATCCCTCTCTGGTTATTTCCTCCACGTCAAGTTCAGTCAGCACAAGTTCAGAGAGAGGTGACATACGTCCTAGACAAGGAGTTCTCTAAGTCTGTCCTTCCTTCCGCTCCTCCATCCACAGGCCTCTTGTGCTCCGCACTGCAGCCGCTCCCTTGGAAATGTTGCAGGCACGCGGGCGTGTTGCATCTGTAGTTACACTCCCCGCAGATGGGAGCAGCCAGTGGATCTGACCTCTGAGCACCTGCTCTGTTCTGGGTATAAAGATATGTATTGACCTACTTACCTTGCCCCAGCCCGTGGCCGGCTCTGCACTGGATCCTGGGGAAAGTAGGAGCAAAAACAGATGCGGGCCCCGTCTTACCGGAGCTTCCCGTCTGGCGGTCCCCCGGGGAACTGCTGGCTCATTGAGACAGAGTGTCCACAGGAAACGTGGCCCTGGGTGAGGAACAGTTCCCCTTCCAGGTGTGTGCTTCAGGGCAGGTGCTGAGAAAGCCAGGCCCCAAACTGTGAAGACACTAATAAAACCAACGTTTATGGCCACGCCTAGCCAAGAACGTCCTTTGCCTTCCCTCCTCCACTCTTTTATGGAGGGAGTCACTCCCTGTGAGGCAGCCGGACTCTACGGGGACATGAGCTCCGGCCCGGTCTCAGTCACCAGCCCGGTCCTGGGCAAGGCACTTTCTCTCTCGGGGCCTCCGTCTCCTCGTCTTTAACGTGAGGGCTTGGGCCACCGATGTCCCAGGTTGGGACACTGCAGATGTCTGGAGGAGCCAGTGTTTTGCTGGAGCCGGTTGGCACTAGTGTTTGTATGCATTTCTTCCAGTTCCATGTCAGTGGCATCACATGTGTTAGCTTGGAGTAAGCCATCATCCGTGTATGTACAGCTCGGAAATCTGCTCTAAAGTCAGGGCTCCCCCACTCCCTGCACGTTGTTAAAGGGTTACCAGCACACCGTTGCTGTTGTCAGAGCGGGGTGACTTTCCTCTGTATTTTAATAGAAAACAGACTCTTTAGCCAGGAAAAAACACTGGATATGGGGTGCGTGATTCAAGTTCTCCAAATTTTTGGTAGGGGGAAAAAAGAGTGTGTTTTCACTAGAATATGTGTCAGCATATTTCTGTAAAGAGTCAGATAGCATTTTACACTCTATGGGCTCTCCTGTCTCTGTTGCAACTACTCAGCTCTGCTGTTGTAGTGTGAAAACAGCCAGAGACAATATGTGAACGAATGGACACAGCTGAGTTCCAATAAAACTTTATTTATAAAAACGGGTGCTAAGCTTCAGTTTGCTGACCCCTGTGCTAGAATGTCGAAACAGGAGCCATGCTTCAAGGAGGTAGTTTCATGGGAAAGGAAATTCTTTAGGACTTTATGCATGAATACTAGGGACTTGATATTCCAAGATAGACATGGCTAGAGTGACAACTGCCAAGGACTTGGAATCAAAGGAGAATCCATAATAGGTTATTTAAAGGAAGGCCAAGTAGGTTCAAGTTTTGAGGACACAGTCATGGGTGGAGGAGGGAAAGGGTGTCTTTGTTCCCAGCTGTCTCTCTGGAGCCGTCTCAGACATGCTGGGATGGAGGGACCTGCAGCGTAGCCCAGTGTGATTTTGGGTGTCCATTGGTTGGAGCATCATCCTGTACAACGTAAGGTTGCAGGGGTTCGATTCCCAGCCAGGGCACATACCTAGGATGTGAGTTTGATCCCCATTCAGGGCGTGTGTGTATGGGAGGCAACTGATTGATGTTTCTCTTTCTTTCTTTCTCTCCCCCCCTTTCCTTTCTCTCTAAAAGTCAATAAAAGCATAAAATGTTACTGCAGCCTGCTCTCCCCCAATAAAGAAAATCATGTTAATTGTCACATCATGGTTCTGAACAAGTGTGTGTGGTCCCGGTATATATTAACGCAGAATAATCTTGAGCAACAGCCCTCTCAGATCGGAATATTTCGTTAAATAACATTGTTAGATTTAAGCCCCAGATCAAAGTGTTCTTTACTGAACTAAAGCACACAGCCTTTACAATGGTGTTGTAAAATGCTATTTCACGAAGTAGCCAGAAGTACAGTTTAATTAAAAAATATATTACCCAAGAATATTTCCCGGTGATCCTGTTTTTCAAGGAGAGGAAGCATGTGCCTGTATGTGTGGGTGTGCACACACGTGGACCGAGGCAAAGGCTCTGCCACGCACCGAGGGCTTTTCTCTGTGTTCTGGCTTTAAATTGTCTTCACTTTGCTTATCAGTACTTTCTAGCTAGTATTCAAAAAGTGTTAAATTTGATATGACAAGTATTGAATTGGACATGACCAAAAATACGCCCTGTGGTTACCTGTACACCTAGTATGAGAACAGCCCTTCATTTGTCTTAGACGGACTTACCACCCACTTGCCTGGGAGCAGACCCCTGCAGCTCCCTTCCCCCCAGTGGGAGGTGGGGGACCAAGGGCCGAGTGACAGGCGTGGGGAACCGAAAACAGGCCCGCTGCCAGGCCGTCGTCACGCTGTGCTGTCAACTTCCCCGTGGCGTGGGCTCCAACCTCGGTCCACCCTCTGCCTCCAGTTGACCCAGAGGTTGGAAAGTTCTTAATAAACACCATCATCTGAGAAGCCATCAGCTGACCCCCTCCCTAGATCGCCTGGCCTTCATTCCTTTTTTGGCCATTTTTAATGGAAAATGTCAGACATACGAAGAAGTGGAGAGTAGATACCTCCAGCCTCAACCAATAGGAACGTTAACATTTGGCCAATCTTGTTTCATATATACTCACTTCTTTTTCTCTCTGACATCTTCATTTTCAATTGTATAAATGAACAAAAAATATTCCTCTTCGTTGTGTCTTTTTAGCAACAAGCATGGACTGACTGCTGTAGCCAAATCTTTACACTCTCCTG